ATATCTACCATGGATGCCAGTCAAGTTATGGCCCTTTTCTGCCAATTCATAAAAACCCAAGGCTTTTAGGAATTGGCAGACCTTGACGACTTTGCCCTTGAGCTTACCCCCCCGTGCCCCTCAGGCATGTATCCCTCCGCCCGCCGTCGCAGCATTAGTAGCGGCCCATGACTCCGCATCCATGGAGTACTCGGACAATATGTCCGAAACTTAGTCCACCCGTAAGAGGTCCGCTCAAACGTCAATCACCTCATCTAGTAGCTGCTCCTCGAACTTAACAGATTCCGATCAATCAGTTGTTGATACGACCTCCTTCACAGAAGTGAAATCCAAGCGCGGCTCGAAACGCGCTGCGACCTCTCGCACACCTCCTGTCCCGGCAGTTGCGGCCGCCCGCGCCCCCGTAGCCTCCACCCCTGCTAGCATTCCCGCGCCTTCCCGCTCCACTGCAGCCCCCGCACCTGCTCGCCCCACCGCAGCCCCCGTCGCTGCCACAAAGAAACAGGTCCCGCCCCCTGTCTTCCTTAGGGACAAGGCGCAATTCACTAGACTTTCTAAAGTCTGCTACGACGCAGGCTTTAAATATGACCAAGCCACCAACCTTGGTGAATCAATTAAAATCGTTCCTCAGTCTATGGAAGACTTTAGAAACATCACCAAACTATTCACATCCGAAGGTGTAAGGGTATCACACCTACTCTCTCCCTGAAGAACGTAAAGTCAGGGCTGTCCTCCGCGGAGTTCCCTTTGAACTCGCCAACGAGGAAATCCTAGAGGACCTAAAGTCCCAGGGATTCCCAGTTGAGGCTGTGCACAAGATGCACAGCAGTAGGGGCAAGAAGTACTTGCTTGGCCTCCTCATTTTGTTCAACGTGCCGGAGGCGAAAGACATATTCCGACAGGTACACACTGTGTGCGGCCTGTCGAGAGTCAAAGTCGAAGCCCCCTATAGGCGCGGTTTTCCGGCGCAATGCCACCGCTGCCAACTCTACGGGCATGCGGCGGCTAACTGCTCAGCCCCTCCAAGGTGTCTTAAGTGCCTAGACCCACACAGCTCGAAAGAGTGTCCTCGGCCACGTGATACCGAGTACCCACCCGCTTGGGTCCTTTGCGGACAGACCGGCCATACGGCCAACTTCAGAGGCTGCCCTCGCGCGCCTCGCCCCAATCTCGGCAACAAAGCTGCCAAAAAGCTCCGCCACCGGTAAATGACCGTACATTCCCGGCTCTCCCATCCAAAATGCCCCTTCAGGGCAACTCTCAGTTATCTCAGGACCTATATCAGCCCCCTCAGGGACCCTAGAGGCCTTCTCACCTTCGCCCACCAGGGCTCCAACATCAGGTGGAACCCTCTTACGCCGATAACGTTGATACAGTATACACTGCTATCCGCAATATCGACGTAAGAGAGATCGCAATTTTAGCACGCAAACTGCGCGCTTCTCAGTCCCCTCAAGACCGTCTGCTCGCTCTTACCGAGCACCAACACTTTTTAAATTCAATATAAGTAGTCATCCCATTCTTAAGCTGCCTTAGCTAGGCAGCAACTCTTCACAGCGGCTACTCGCCGCTAGCGCCCCCCTTTCACCCAAGGAGGGTCGCGTTCGATAAGGCTTAAAAATCTCTAGTTAGATTGTTAAGCCAGTCCCTAAAAAGGCGGTGTTTAGTGGGTAAAAGTCTCCACATAACCACGCAGCCGGCTGCGTGGTATGCTATGAGCATTCACCGCCTCCCTCCCCCGCTTTCCGGAGGGTGGCCCATATTTGCTTCGGGCGCAAAAAAAAATTGTACATTAAATTTGTAATAATAATTGTAAGGGAACACTCTGCCCGAATAAAAGTACAAATCAGTTTGCGTTTATCTTTTAACCACTTTTATTATACACCGTCTTTTACATTAGATAATATTTAATACCAGCGCAAGCTCAGAGCTCTCTAGTATATAGTCGGTAAACTATGCTCAGAGCCAAACAAACGTAACAAACCAACAAATGAGTTGATTGACGTTTGAGTTTTTGAACTAACGTTGACATTTCCGCTTTGTGGCCCGAATAAAATATTGATAATCGATTGTGAAATCGATTTATTAATGTATTTAGTCATGTTTTTTTTTTACTTTTTTTATACGTTGAAGTGTGTCTCACGAGGAAACCATTATAAATTTCTTAAACTTACCTAAAGAAGAAAATACTGAATGACTTTTTATTGTCTTTTTTCTATTTTTGTATTAAAATCGATTAACTAACCTATTTCATCTGGCAGCATTGTTTAAAAAATGAAAATAACGGAAGTCAGTATTATTTTTATTAAAAATATTTAGTTTCTTTCGCCATGATAAAACTGCTTAATGTTTCATTATCAACTACAAAAAAAACTGTAAAAACAACACTGTTGTAACGTTCGGCCCAAATTCGCCCGTCTCCTTTACCTACAGGTAGTGGCGACATCCAGTATCTCATAAAAGAATTATTCGCGTGAATTTGAGACCTGGAATAATGTGATTTTACAATATGATTAAAATAAAAAGTAGTAAGTAGATATGGTTTTAAATAGTTTACTAAGTGCGTCTTAATTTTGCATTTCATTCGTTTCTATTCAATGTTCTAAGATTGTAGAGCCTGCTACGAACGCCGAATGCGCTCGTTTCGTCACAGTGACGTCACGCGGACCTGTGTATAGTTGCCGACACGAAACGTGAGCACAGATGAACTATGGTGGGGGTTGAGCCAGCGTAGGTACACTGTCTGCCAAAATTATTAGGTACTGTTGTTATTTCAATTCATAATTGAATATTTTCGCTGACTATTTTTCGAAATTCTGAGTCGTTAACTCCTTTAACTATACGCCGTACAGTAGCTACGTAGACATTAGTCGCCTCAGCAGTCTGTTTATAAACGTCTATCATATTTTTCGCAATACCTAATTATTTCATGTAACAAAACATTGAAAAGACCATTTGTCGCGATTGTCTATTTAACACCGAATTCTTTCTTCTCTGCATATTTAGACCAAAATCCGAATACTTAAATTATAACAAAAAAAAAATTAACAACAAGAAATATCAAAAACAGTTAAAACAAGAAATGCACAAATAACAATTAACAACGAGGTAATACTACAATTAACAAAAATAAACTAATTAAAAAGTTATCACTAAAATTGCTCTCAAGTGTACGGTAGTCGAATGATACGTGCGAACCCAATAGACGACGAGAATCGCGTGACCACCAATCACGTTGAGCGTCAGCATGGTCAACGTCATATCGACCAATAAAAAGTGTGCTCACGACTCGTGGCGGCAATTATACAATGGGTGCGTTTGGCAGAAAAAAGCGCTAGCAAGCGCTTGTAAGCAAAATGGCGATCGTAAGCGGTAAGCGCTGTCAAATCGTAAGTAGCTATTTTCCTCCAGGACACGATGTTAGTTTTAACCGGAGAACCTAACCTAATTTAAATATATGTTTGTAAAGAATTCATATTAAAAACTTACCAATCATGAATTTTTAATAACATGTATATGTCTATTCATGTCATTATACTACTTAAAACTAATTTTACACAAAACAACTTTAAACTCTACTTCAAAATAAACAAATTAAATAAGCAAAATGGCGGATTGTGTCAGCGCTGCTGAAGTAGCAATCGTGTCCTGGCCGAAAACTATTTTAGCGCTTGTAAGCGCTTGCTAGCGCTTTTTTCTGCCAAACGCACCCAATGACTTTTAGCGGCAGGAACGGCCTATGTTTATTACCTAATATCTTCCTTCGTAAGTAATGGTCCGATTTGTATAATTCAAAAAGATATATCATTTTTATGTCATAAATAATAACGTGGATACTAGTTTTATTGAATTTTCTACAACATTACTGATCCTCATTGACAATGTGTAACAAAAAGCTTCACTTTCAGTGCAACTACCGACATCTGGTGAGCAGATGATTAATAGCCCTCATTGTCGGTACACATTTCTTTCTTGCGAATATGTGAGTTTGGCGACAGCATGAAGTTATAGATAAGGATCTTTATTTATAACTTCATGGGCGACAGTGGTTCTGGTACAATATAGGCGTTTTGCTACCTCCCATTTTCTTTGAATGCCGTGATATAATATCAATGAGCCAAAACTTGTCAATCACATGTCTGTCTAAATGTCCACTGAAACCTACAAACCTATTAAAAATAATTAACACTTTCTCAACTAGATAGCGCTACTTTGTTATTACATCGTGATATGGTTCTGTTAGGAGAAACAGACCTAGCTACGAATGAGCGTATCGATTAAACACACAATATAAAGAGCCATTTATTGCTTATTTTTGTAGTCCTATTGATAGGATTCATATTATGTCGATTCACCAACCTTGTAGGGATGATACGTACTAGACTACTAGGTAAATTTCGTACTAGGTGCATCTAGGACCTAGGCCGATTTCGTATAAAATTATAAATACTCGATCAAAATACCTGTTCCAGCTAGTCCATAAAGTATCAAGTACGCACAAAGTTTAGTATTGTTGTAATAGGATGAACTTTAGTTTCAAGTATGCTTTGCGTGCGTACTGCTGAAACGTGTGCACTGTGCAATAATGAGTTGTAATCTTCCCTTCATACTATACACAGGCTTAGGACTGTCAACGTACCACATTGTAGGTTGTTGGCGTTTTTAAAAGGTTTTATTTAATTTTTATTTCAATGTAATCAGATTTTGCTTTTTTTGTTTTGTGTTTTTTTTTGTTTTGTTTTTTTAATCACTTAATCTACAGTTATTGTTTTTTTATATATACGGAGAAAATCGGACTTAAGAATTTTGATTTAAGAACATTAATTGTTGCACTTTCGAGTTCCCAGCCTCGTTCTCCTGTCATTTAGCAATAGGCCACATGAGGAAAATAATCTTTCACAAGGGACACTCGTGGCCATTGCATTCAACTTGGTGAGTGCCAGAGCATACAAATGCTAAATAGCTTATCTATATCAGATTTACATTTACTAGCATTTTTTCTATATATGTATGAAGCTATAGTTCTCGCACCCGGTTGTAGGTACTAATCGCACCAAGTTTGTGGACGGCCGTTGTTCACCTTCAGGTTGTTGAACTATTCCAGCAGATTGGTCTGATATTGGTGTTTGCTGGTTAGTCTGGGATGTTATCACTGGAGCTGGAACGTCGTTTCTTCTAACTAAACTTACTAATGGATGTTTACGTTTAATGTGTTTTGTAAGGTTTGATACAGAACTTTTAAAACTCAGTTGTATTTTACAAATATTACACTCGGCCATTTGTTGCCCTTTGTCCGTAAAATGATCCCAAGCCACACTGTTTACTCTAGGAGCCATTTTTTACAACAATAAACGCGTGAGTGTTTCTAGTTAGTTTTTGAATAAACACTTTAATCTATCACGTACCAAACCAATACATAAAATAATCAAAATATGTCTCCTTTGTAGACACTTTGTAGATTCTTTTTTTATAAGTTATTTATAACAATTATACAACTACAATCCTAAAAAAAATATTATAATTATTCTCGTTACTAAATTACGAGGATTGAGATTATACGAGATATAAATTAAGATAATTTACTTCAAAAGCTCCCTTCCGCCATTAACCTACTTTCTTTACTCGATATGTAGTACAACAAAGTACGTGTAGATCAGAGTTCCCCAAACTTTTTTGTGTCGTTTGTCTGTTTCTTTTTTTCGTTAGGAGATTGGTAACAGCGCTGAACCCCCTTTCCACTAGGTATGACGATGGAAAGGAAATTAAAAATTTCCTCGCTATATTCCATAATACGGGATAAGTAACGGGTATGTTGTTTTGCAGCCAGAATTGCTGATATCCGTTTTTAAACTGAACCTTAAGTTCTTCATTTGTACTTAGTTCAGTCAGTTCCTCTTGTATTATGACATTCGTTTCTTCTATGTCACCATATGGATTAATTATCCACGGTGGTATTACCATAGTCAAAATATCCTCAAACCTAGATTCAAAATCTGAATAGAGGGCATTTAAATGTTGAACGTAAGTTGAAACGTCGTCTTCCTGGCAGATTGTCTGTGACAAATTGGGGAACTGAGAAAATTCGCCCCGTCCAATATTTTGCTTCATTAGTTTAACTCTGGCAAGAAACGCCGATAAGATGGACTTTGTTTTAATCAAATTTAAACTGTCGCCTTGTAATTGCAAATTAACCATATGAAATTTTGTAAACAAATCTGTTAAATAGGCGATGTCTGTTTTTTCCTCTTTATTAAATTTTGTTTTAAAATTTTATCTTTAGTATCCAGAAATTCTAAAATAGTCTCAAAAAGTGCAAAAAATCTTGTCAAACATAAGCCTTTCGACAGCCAGCGTACTTCAGTGTGAGGGAGTAATTGATGAAAGTATTCGTCATTTTTTTTATACAACTGCGCAAATAACCGCGTATTCAACGCGTTGCTTCGGATTCGGTTTACTGCATCAATGACTAAATGAAGTGATTCATGCAATCTAACACTCAAATTTTTAGCAGCTAAATGTTGTCGATGGATGACGCAATGTATTGCTAACACCCCTGACACATTTTGTTTTAAATAGCTTATAAATCCACGATAACGTCCAACCGTGGCAGGTGCTCCATCTGTAGCTACTGATATTATATTTGATAAAGGAATTGCTTTTTCAATAGAGTAATCCTTCAAAACATGAAATATTGATTCACCATTAGTGTCGGTTATCAAAGTTCTTGCGAAGAGTAGTTCTTCGTAGATTTCTTGATTCATAATAAAACGAACATATGCCAATAATAATGTTTCATTATCAGGTAAAGTTGACTCGTCCATTTGTATAGAGAAATGGGTCGTTTGCAAATAATTACATAAAAAGCTTTCAATATCAGAACTCATTTCATCAATACGTCTTTCAACAGTATTGTTGCTTAAGGGAATTCTTTTAATGATATCAGATGCAGGTTTGTGTAAAACAGTTTTTAAAACCTCTTCAACGGCTGGCAAAATTAACTTATCTCCGATAGTATGCGGTTTTCTGGATTTTGCTATAAGTAACGAGATATTGTAAGACGCCCGCAAACCATCATCGTTTCTTTGTGACGTCGTTTATCTTTGAGTGTTTGAAAGTATTTCAAATCTTTCTCTGTTTTATCAGGGTGGCATCTTCTCAGATGATCTTGTAGTTTAGATGGTTTCATAGCGTCATTGCCCAAAACTTTGTTGCATAAAAGGCACATAGGCAATTGTTTGTCCGGCAATGATGGAATGAAGCCAAATTTCAAATAATCGACACTGTACTGTCTACATTTCTTTTTAGATTCGGACATGACATCAGTCATCTGTGGGCAAAATTAAATTATTTAAATAAGACAGAAAATCCAGCAGCTGTATATTAAAAATATTTTTAGATTTTTCCGAAAACATTCCATAATTCGAACACCTTCTTGCAACAATTAGCTCGAATTACGGAGATTGCACTGTAATTATAATACCGATTGCTAAAACTTTCAAAAAGAAACTATTGAGGAGTACTCGTGTAATTTTTCATGATTGAATATTAAACTACTAATAACTAAAGTCATGATTGGCGCAATTTATCTATCTTTGCTAACTACGAGTACAAAACTAAAATTTAATAAAAAATAATGTACTTACTTTTCTCCAGCACTCTCAAACAAAATAACACTGACTCACTATAATTTGTGTGACATCTGTTTATATTTTTTTAAATATTTTCTTAGCACTTTCCTTTTCAAGATTCAGGAAACGAATAAACGTATTTATCCCACATTCGTATTTATAGAGTGACGAATTGAACAAGTCCGTGCAAGGTAGCGAAGCTTTGACACTGCGACTCTCAGGTTTTTACAAGTTCAAAATGTATTGCGACCACAAAGCGAATACCAAAATCCTACAACTTACACAATTTTATAAACATATATAATAAATTTTTTACTTCATAGGTACTTTTATAAATAATGTATATGTTTTGATATTATAAGATAGTATGATGTAAGTAAATAGGTACTATCAGTGTATGTGTTGAGATCCACTATCGTGGACCCCCATTTTCATTTCATGAACCCCCAAATTTTTTCGCTGACGTAGACCCCTTGCAGGTTGTCATAGACCCCTAGGGGTTATAGACCACTTTGGGAATCACTGGTGTAGATGGATGGTACGGTTACGGAATAATTTCGTATTTTCTAAAATTTGTTTTAAATGATTTTTATCTTAAAGTTGTCAATTTATTTGAAAAACTCTAGAATGGGAAAATTCACCTATTGATTTTGTATCTCTCTATTTATTTTAAGCTGCTATGTTTTTTTTTAGTATTGCCATAATTCTATAATAGGTTGATGCAGTTTAAAGTAGCTTATAGTGACGGAAGGAAGAATTTGAAGTTGATTATTTTCATATATTATTTCTCATATAATTAATATTAATAGTAAGGAGACTAATTATAATATTTTTTAGAATATTGTTTGTATAATTCTTATAAACAAACATTAAAAAAAGAATAGTTCTGAAAAACAAAAAATAAAAAGTTGGTGAAGTTTGGTTTACTCCGTAAGAATGATTATAAAACATATAGATTAGTAAGTAAATGAACGCATTTTTATATTACTGAAACCAAGCATGATACATTTACTTACATTAATTATATAATTTATATTCATCAAAATATATTACATAGTCATGGAAATGGAAACATGAATACAGCGTCCACCGAGATCACTCTCTAGTACATAGTCAGTAATCTATGGAGATCACATTCGCATGAGTCCATACCAAAGAGTATAATAAGTATATATAGGAAGTCCATACTGTACTATAAATAGACACTCGTCTGCCTTGTACTCTTGTACTAGTATTTGGTTGAAGTCCCGAGTCCCGACTAGTCTCGAGTCTCGAGTATTGATAGACAAAGATAGAATGAGTGCTGAGTAGTGTAGTTAAACAAGGACATAATATATTCTTACACAACACGAGTGCGCGTCACGTTACTTTTATGTGCATTAAAATATGGTTCAAATTCAAATGACCGACAAACTAATGATTTAGGCAAACACGACCGTAAGCGCCTAGTAAATACGGCAACAAAATACGAGTACGACGTGTAAGGCACAGTGAGACTAGATGGATCAAGTATTTTAAAAGATGGAATAGGTGCAAACTAGTCTCGTTAAATACTTAGTCCCTAGATCCGTTCTAGTATATACGCTTCATCTCTACAATCTTGTATTTTATTTACATTTTTATTATATTTTGTACTCCTTAATATAAAAAGAAAAAAAATCCCCTTCCTTTTTCCCCCCCCCCCCCTCTGTAAACAAAAAAAAAAAAAAAAAAACCCTATACGGCTTACGAGTCCGAACTTCTTGCAGGAACCTGCGCAATGGGCATGCAACTTAGAAAATTATTTTGAGAACTAATTGATATCTTTTTGTGCTGCCATCTTTAGTAAGGACACGTAAACTAGACTTACTTTTATCGAACTAGAGGGCACACTTATATATTGGGTGCGTTTGGCAGGAAAAAACGCTAGCAAGCGCTTGTAAGCAAAATGGCGATCGTAAGCGGTAAGCGCTGTCAAATCGTAAGTAGCTATTTTCCTCTAGGACACGATGTTAGTTTTAACCGGGGAACCTAACCTAATTTGAATATATGTTTGTGAAGTATTCATATTAAAAACTTACCAATCATGAATTTTTAATAACATGTATATGTCTATTCATGTCATTATATTACTTAAAACTAATATTGCAAAAAACAACTTATAAACTCTACTTCAAAACAAACAAATTAAATAAGCAAAATGGCGGATTGTGTCAGCGCTACTGAAGTAGCAAACGTGTCCTGGCCGAAAACTATTTTAGCGCTAGTAAGCGCTTGCTAGCGCTTTTTCCTGCCAAACGCACCCATTAAGTCTATGCAAAGGAAACAATCCATCATGCATGTGCTACGCATACGCAATTATGGCGGTCGCTACTCACTAATAGTAAAGCTTAAATTGATATTATAATTTCTATTTAATATTATTCCGATTTCTCGTGCGTTTATATACTGTGCTGTTTATTTGATGAGAAGATAAAACCGATTGTGAAATTTACAATAACTACCGCATTTGTGATCGACCCTTTGGGGATCGTTTTTTATATCCTCGAACCAAAATACTTGCAAAAACAGTTTACCCCAGTCTTAACCTTGGTAAGTCTTTAAAAGCTTTCTCGCTGTCATGTTTAAAAGCTTGTAGCAAAATAGCAATTCTTTTAGCAGAGCCCTAGATTATAAACATATACAATTTGTCTTCACTTACCAATATGTTAAATAATATAAAATATGAT